GGGCACCTTGAAAGCATCTCAGTGGTCCACAGGCTGGGAACAGTGGGACTGAAGTCATGTCAGATGTCACGTGCTGTCTGTCCTTTTTCAGAAGAGTCTTCCCAAGAAATGTCAAGTGAGGCACATTAGGTACTTCCATCTCTTAGCTTCAAAATAAGAAAAACTGGGCCAGTAAGAGACTTCAGCATGTGAACATGTACAATTCTGGGCACATGAACTAGAGCCCCAGAACTCACAAAGGGCAGAAAGAACCGTTCACAAGTTGTCCACCAACCTCTACATGTGCACTGTGTGGGTGCACATGCGCATGTGCCAAGCACACACACAAATAAATTAAAAACAAAAGAAAAACTAGAGAAATTTGATTCTTTGAAACCATTATTGACAGCCATTTTGACTTGGGTGAGGTAATATCTCAGGGTAGTTTTAATTTGCATTTCCTTGGTGACTGGGATTGTTGAAGACTTTCTAAAGTAGTTATTGGCCATTTGGGTCTCTGTGTGTGTCTCTCTCTCTGTGTCTTCTGTCTGTCGGTCTGTCTGTCTGTCTGTCTGTCTGTCTGTCTGTCTGTGTCTGTCTCTCTCTCAACCATCTATTTGATTCATTAGCCCATTTGTTGAATGGAAAGCTTTATTTACTTTATGTTAACTCTCTGCAAGTCTAGGTAAATTCTAACTATTAATCCTTTGTCCGAAGTGAAGCTGGTAAAGATTTTCTCCCACACTGTGGGCTGTCTGTGTGTTCTGCTGGTAGTTTCTTTTGCTGTGCAGAAGCTTTTAATTTCATGTATCCCTATCTGTTGACCACAGGGAAAGATCGTGTGGTATTGAACTTCCAATAGCTGGAATTCAGACTGTGTAGTGTTTGTTGGATGGACAGACCCATAGACCAGTTATTGTTACTGTATTAGAAGTCTGCAGTTTGAAGTCTGATTCTTCTTGTATTAGTTACTTGTTTTGCTGCTGCAATAAGCAGTCCTGAGAAGAGCACATTAAGGAGGGAGGCTTATCTTGGCTCTCAGCTTGAGGCTGTAGTCATGGTGAGAAAGACATGGCAGCAAGAGTGAGTAGCTGCTCACCTTACACCTGGAATCAGGAAGCAGGGAGATGATTGCTGGTGCTCAGCTTTCCTTTTCTCGAGAATGTGTCTTCCCTCATCACATAACCCAACCTAAAGACTTCACAACAGGTGTACACAGAGATCTCAGTGGTGATTCTAAGTCCTGTGAGGTTGACAATCAAGGTTAACCACCATCTAATAATAGTTCTTTTCACCATTGCTTATTCTGGCCTTTGTCTTTCCTCATGCATATTACACATGGTGTTTCTAGGCGTGCAATGTTAAAGATCAAAGTTTGGGCTCACAGTGCTTGACACAGACTTGACTAAGCTACAAGTCCTGCCCAAAGGAAATGGTGAAATAATCTCATCAGTCTTGCTGAGTTTTTATAGGACTTGCAGTGAGCCTGAGTACACTTAGGGAGAACTGACCATGTCTTACACTGAGTGTTTCTACCGTTGCACAGGGTTTTTCTCTCTGTATCTCACATGGTTTTCATTTCCCTCAGCTCCATTACATAGTTTTCACTACACTGGCCCTGTTAGAGTTTTGTTACATTTTTATCTATAAGACAATATTTGATTTGTTATGTACTTAATAAAACAAAACAATTATAGTGGTTTTGTAGTTTTAATTTCAGGTCCTATGTGCTTAAACTGCCTTTTGTAATATAAAGTTCAGTGGGGTCAATGAGATGGATAAAGGCATCTGCCATCAAGCCTGAAGGCCCGAGTTCAGTAACTGAAACCTAGACCTACACACACACACACACATATATATATAGTTCGATGGAATTTTGTATTGTTTTGCTTTGAAACAGATCTCATGTAACCCAGTACCAGGCTGGCCTGGAACTCATGATGTAGCTGAGGATGCCCATAAAATTCTGACTCCCTGCCTCCTCCCAAATGCTTATTCTGGCTATGCAGCACTACCCTCAGGTTTTACTGTCCTGGGATTAGATCCAAGGCTCATGCTTAGAAGACAAGCACGCTACAACCTGAGCCACTTTCTCAGCTGCCTCCTGGGGCTTGACAGGTCGATCTTCTGTGTCACCTGCCGAACTCGCTTTGTTTTTCTAGATTTGTACATTCCTTTGGGTTTCCTATTAAACCATGTCATCTGAAAATAAGACTGATTTCTTTCTTACCTGTCTGCTTTTCATTTCCTTGGCTAGGCTGTACAATTGTCAAGAACTTCCAGCCCTCTGTGGAGTGATAGTGGAGAGGCCTGTGTGTCCACTTCACTGCTTGTCAGGGGAAACATTCATTTTGTTCCTTGTGTGTGAAGAAAGCTGTAGGTTTGGAGAAACACTTTTATTAAGCTTAGGGACCCTGCTGTAGTATTGTTTTTCTGAGGATTTTTGTCATAATAGGGGGTACATTTGTCAAATGCCTTTGCATCATTTGTTTGGATCATGTAATTTTTATAAATCTAGTCTGGGCCACATTCGTGTGATGAGCCCACTCGGTCATAGTGTATGGTTGCTGAATTCTGTTCTCTAATATTCTGTTGAGGATTTCTACTTCTGTGTACATGAGAAATATTGGTCTCCAGCTTTCTTTCCTTCTCTCTCCTTTTCCTCCTCTCTCTGTCTCTCTCTCTGTCTGTGTGTGTGTGTTTGTTTGTTTGTGTGTGTGTGTGGTGTGCACATACATAGGTGGCATTGTTTCCATATTATTTGAGTACCTTTTCTGGATTCTTTTCACTGTATGTAGGTGTCATTTATGCAAACGGGAGTCTAGTTCAAATCAGAAGAAAGGTAAATACAATAAAACATCCATATGAGCCTAAAATACCACTCCACAGAATTAAGTCTTCACTGGTTTTTACTTTGGCATGATTGTAGTTATGTCTCATACATGGTGCAATGATCAAATCAGGGAGATGACTATAGCCATCTTCTCACACACTGCATTCAAATCCTGTCCTCTGTTTCAAGGTGCACATTGCTGTTAGCTGAGGTCACTGCACTGTGCAACAAAAATGAGATTCCGACCTTCTTTCATAGTTGTGACTTTGACCTTTCTGCAACCTCTCCCCTTCCCCCATGCAGCCCTGCTCCAGCCTCTGGCAGCTACCATTTGGCTCACTTTTGTGAGATGTCTGTCTGTGCATCTGGTTTCTGTCACTGGGCATTATGCCCTCTGACCTCATTCACACTGCCCTAACAAATAGAATCCCATTCTTTACATGGCTGAATAGTACTCATTTGTACATATACACCACATTTTCTCTATAAATCTATCCATTTTTGAGCACTTACAGAAGTTTTCAGGATATAGCTTTTTAGCAAATCACTTTTTGTCATAAAAACACCCCAAAGTCGGTGCTGAGAGATGACTCAGTGACTATGGGGAGCACTCCTCTTGCAGAGGACCTGTGTTCAGTTTCCATCACTCACATTGACAGAGTGCCCTTGTAGCTCCAGCTCCTGCAAATGCATTGTCTCTGTGGGCATCCATACACACATGTGAATACCAATACAGAGACACAGAACTAAAATACAAAGATGCTAATAAGACATCAAATTTTTGTTCAAGCGTGGTGTTCTTTGAATTGTACCAGTGCTGGCCTGCTGGGTGTGTGCATGGTGACTCTGAATGTTCCAGAGAGCCTCTGCCTGCAGCATTCTCTTAAAGTCTCATAAACATACATCCCCGCGATAAGGGTACTTCCCCCTCATCCTTGCCAGGGCTCCGTTGCTTTTAAGTAAGGAACTCAATTCATAAATGTGTAATAAAAACACTTCTCCATCAAAAATTATCAAAGTTTAAGAATTCTTGGTTTTTAATTAGGGAAAATTACCAATATAATTTGAAGGGGTCTCTGTACAAAGTAATTTAAAAGTATCTTTAAGTCAATAAAGATGATCATTTAAGATCTATTTCTAGTGTTAACACAGGTAGTTTTTACTTTAGAATGTGATTGTGTGGATGTCTTTTGGGTCCTTGATCCATCTGGCATTCCATTCTGACTGGAAAAACTTGAAATGAAAACCAGTGTCTCTGATCTGAGGTCTTCCTGCCACTGATGCAGCAGGACATGCACTCATGCTGAAGTTTCACAGATCTTTGTACTTGTGTGGCTTTTCTTTGAGTAATATGTATTTATTATACTTATACATACATGCAGATAGGCGACAGATACAGATAGATGGATAATCTATGTGTAACTTCTTAAAATTTCTGTTTGTCCTTATAAAAAACTCAGAAGTAATGCCCAAGTTGGGTGTGTTATATATTTAGAAAGCTGTTTGACACCCAGTTATATTAATAAGACAACAGTAGGCAATTGCCTTGGAATTCCTACGACCTTCACAGTCATGAAGGGTTATAATATCAGGCAATAATTTTTACCTATGAGGCAGGACACAAATCCAACCCCAAAAGCAGGTGGCTGTATGTGTGATCATGTGCACATATGTGGATAGGCATGCAGATTCTAGAGGTCACCATTAGCTCTCTTCTTCTGTCACTCCACACCTTAATTTGTGACACATGGTCTTTCACTGGAGCTGTAGCTCACTGATTGGCTGGTCATGGAGCCCTAGGAATAGCTGTCTCTCTTGGGGCTGGGGTTACAGGTACCTGCCACCATGCTTGTTGAGCATGCTGGGGACCCAAGTCAGTCCACAGCAGCAAGCGCTCTACTGTCTGAGCTGTCTCTGAGACCCCTTGTTTTTACATGTTTGATGTCAGCAAATCAGTGCAAGTTCACTCTATCACTGAGTCATATTGGCATGAACAAAATGATTATGTTTAGCCTTTATGACATTACATGAGAATCTAAAATATGTGTAAATTATCACTCATAACACACCTCCCCTATAACTGCATGAAACAGAGTACGTCCCACAAGACAGCTTGATAAAGGCTCCTGTGTTCACTTCATAGAATAGGAATAATTTCTCCTGTTTCAGCATTGTTCTAATTTTACAGGATCCAAGCCAAAACTCGAGAATTTAGGGAGCGGCAGGCTCGAGAACGCGATTATGCTGAAATCCAAGATTTCCATCGGACATTTGGCTGTGATGACGAGTTGCTCTATGGTGGCATGTCATCCTATGAAGGCTGTTTGGCTCTCAATGCCAGACCCCAGAGCCCAAGAGAAGGGCACCTGATGGACACTTTGTATGCGCAAGTGAAGAAACCACGGAGCTCCAAACCCGGGGACAGGTAGGTGCTGTTCGTTGGCTTTGTGTCTGTGTCAGCTCTCTCCTGGTTATGGACAAGGGAGAAGATTGTTTGTCAGTGCCCATTGTAAAATGCTGGTTATTAACTGCTTTAAAAAGCTGTTGTGTCTAAAGGTATTGGGTTGGCACAAATCAGTGGCTAATGGAAGGAACAGTAAGAAGTTTTGATTGTTTCCCTTACAGTTCCAGCCTAGCTTGTTCATGCTCTTCATGAACCTGGGACTTGACCTGCCTGTGCCTTACAGCTCAGGTCAAAGTCAAACTTGAACATAAGCAATACGTTCTTGTCTTGCTATAAAAGGGCTTCTGGGTATGATAACTAAATGCAGGGACATTTGTTTGGATCAGGACTTAGAAGGGCCACTTTGAGGGTGGCATAATTTTATGCCATGAAAGAATTAGTAAATGAGAAACAGTACATCTATTCTACAAGAGGCTTGCTAAGCAGCAGAGGTTTCAGTTCTGATATGTTTATCAACACAACAGACAGAGTGGAATGCTGATTGTGTTTTAAAGGTTATCTAGTTATTTAAGTATTTAACTGAGTCTGCGAGCCTGCATTACTGACAGACACTTATTGAGGCTCTGTGTACTGCTGGTATACTTACTTCAAATGGTTATATACATATTTCAGATTTTAGCTGAAACAATCCTGAATGAATCTTTTCCCACCCCTCCCTTTATAGACTCCAACACCATATGGAGTTTAGCTTTGAAGAGAATAATTCTCATTTCCTTTCATATCAAACATGTGCACACTATTGTCATAAACAATACGCCAATCGTGTTATAAACGTCGCTTATCGCTCTCTATGGCAGCTGGGCTTTGTAAATTATAAATGGTTTTACTTAAAAACAGTGTTTCTGAAGCATTTATGTGCATTAGGCTTGCCTGAAAGACTTCTCGAAACACTGGCTGAATGTTCGGATGTGGTAGATTAAGGCCAGAGTCCAAGAACTTGAATATTTTAGGATTCCCTAATTGATGCTGGACCTGCAGGTCTTGGCTTCAGAGTCCTCGGTAGGACACAGTCAGTGGACTCTGGTGATGGTTCCTCAATGCAGTTTTGCCACAGCCCTTATTTTAATAACTGATTTCTAGCTATTAGTAGCAGAAGCTTGCAAATGCAGAAAAGCAACTTCCGGCAATTACAGAAAGAACCATTTTTAAAAATAGCAGATAGGAACAAGAGCAAACACAACAGCTCATGAATGAGCACACCCCAAGGCAATTGTTCTGGCCTGAACCTTTGTTGTAGTTTAGATTTTCTTCCTGATTATCTCAGAAAATCTATTTAACATTGAATATGAGGAGTGAGCCCTCTAACATGGTTGCTCCAGCCTCTCCCTGTGTCCCCCTGAAGGCTCGTGTGTATCAACAGAGATGTCAGAACTCAAGAATGAAGTTCTCATCAGTGGCAGTGACATTTTCTTTGAAAGCTTTTTTGCCTCATTTCTGCCATGATTGTGGAAGCTGCCTGCAGAAGGTTAAGTGGCATCTGAAGGTGCTTTCTTGAGAGAAAGGCCACCAACACACCTGCACTGCCAGCTAGAGACTCCTGGGGGAAATGGAGAAAGTTGGCCTGGGGATTATTGATTGCTGATAAAAAAAGAGCTAATCATTTCCACATCTCTCACAAAACTCAAAAAATATGAAAACCGGGAGAAGGGCTGCAGCACTGGCAATCTGAGAGGACCTTCCTGCTCGCGCTAACCACAATGGGCTGCCCCAGTGCTCCCCAAGAGCTACAATCTCGCCTGAAGACCTCTGCAAGTGTTCAGAAGAGAGTAGCATTTTCCCAGCGCTCCCTCTCCAGTTTGCAACATCTGGGCATGTGTTCTTCAGGCCCTGCTTTGCTAACCCAGATCTTCGGCAGGCCCTGGCTCATGCCCATGCAGAGTCTACTTCTTAGGGGTCACACTAAACATAATCTCAGAACCATGCCTTTGACACTGTTTTCCTCCAAGGCGCCTCTGCTTTTACCTGGAGAGTCATGGTTTAGTTTTTCAGGGAAAAGAAAAGATTACAGATGCTTGCTGAATCTTTTATGTTATTTTTGCAGAGAATAAGATATCCATTAGTGATTACTAGTGTTGCTACTTTAGTGGCCTTTGTGCCTGTCAAGCCCTTCCTTGCCCACCTGCTGTTGAATATGGAACTTAGCTTGGGAGCATGGCCTCACTTGTTGTCTTTCTAGTTGAAGTGAAAGTATACCTGAGTAGTGTAGAAAAGCCCTCTTCTATGGAAAAGAGACCTCTTGCTACTGCCACACTGCTGTAAATTGCTGTGATTATAATGTTACTTAAATACATATAAAACTAAAATGGAACTGGACTCATTTGTAGAGCTACTATACATCTAATAAAACTTTAATCTTTACAAAGTTAGATATAAACAAAATGACAAACCCTTTGCATTCCAGTGAACTATGTTAATGTGGCCAATAATATTTTTCATCATTTTGTTTTAATGGTGCATTGTAACCAAAACCAACAGATACTCTGGGTTTAATGATACACACCTGCCATGCTCATGCCCAGGCAGGCTGAGATTTGTTTTGATACTTTTGCAGGGCTGGTGCATATTCATTTCATCTGTCTCTTTTCCTGATTCCTTCAGTGCTTTTGCAAATTTCTGGTCCATGATCTTTAACTGGAGTATCATATTGATACATCATTTATGACATCACCCAGTTTTTGTCATCATTAAGTTGAGACAGTGAAGTGGCATTTCTAGGATCTTTCTGTTTTTAAAGTTAAATTTAACATGGCTGCAAGGTGATCTAGAATATGCTTACATGAACTTTAAAAAAGTAATCATTGTAATGGAAATATGAAAGTTAAAACCACTTAGAGAGAAGTCCCTTCTGATGAATAATGTACAGATGCTCATTGACTGATTAAATGTCACCAAAATTTGCAATAGGTATCTGTGGAACTTTGCTATTCAGATCTCTGTATTTGTGAGAGGGTAGGCTTTGCTGATAACCTGACGTGCACTTCTTAGATTTTCTCTGTTCAGTAAAAATGCAGCCCTCAGAATGCACTGCTCAGTCATTTTGATGGGCCTCACAGCCAGAGTGTAGAAGCAACACAGGAAATATATTAAAAGACAGTAACTTGATGTCACAGTGGGGACACTTTCCCAGCTCCACATGTTGTATGCACAGTGGCTTTCCAGGGCACAGAGTTATGTTTAGAAATATATTCATGCCTGCATAAGTGAGTTTGTACCTGTGTACATGCGTTAGTCATCTTTCCTTTACTGTTTAGTTTCATGCATGTTTATTCTGTCAGTATTCTCACGCATGCCTAACTGTATCAGCAAATGTACTAGTAACTGAGTACATGCTGGAGTCGTGGTACCAACTTCTATTCTTTATTCATGTCCTTGGTAACATTTTGATTTTTTACATTAGATACATGCTAAAGAGGCAGACCCTAATCTGTGCTCTGTGTGAATAATTAGGCTTAAAGTCACCATAATGTGTGTGTGCATCCTATTTATTCTGTGCATCACTATGGATTTAGGCATGACCAATGGTTCATAATCCTGCATTTCCCTGGCTAAGGTAACTTCTTCTGTGGCTGGTGTGTCCTGGTTGGCCAAGGACCCTGTGTCTGACACAGTGTGGTGACATGCTTCCATTCTGTTCTGTACTCTGGAAGACACTACCAGTTGCCTACCTACCCAATACCTAGTCTCACCTCTCCATTATGGAGTAAATCCTTGTTTTATTCTTTAAGTAAATGCCTACCTAAGCATTTCAGTTCTTAGACTCCTAGCGAGTCACGTGACAGAGTTCTAACTAGTCAACTTTGGAAGCAGCTGGGCAGAAGGGACTTCCTACAGTGCTGTTTTTTTTTTTCCTGATGTGTACATGCATCTGTTTGTGTCCTGTAACTGGGGATCTCACTTGCACATCTGAAGCTCTTGATCCCAGCCCTAGCACGTCAGAATCAAGGTTGCTTGGGAATGCACCTTAGTGTTCTCTTTTTTTCTGCTAGGGTCTTGGATATGTGCTCCAGGATGGTCCTTACCTAAAAAGCCCAAAAGGGACAGCCACATGAAAGCCTTTGACTAGTGGCAGTTCCTTTCTGACTTATCCAGCCTGGCTCTTTATTTCCTTAGAAAAATCTGGCTGTTGCTGAAGTTGCTGCCTTGAGATTTGTGTTTCAAGAGGCCAGACACTAGGCTGGATATAAGTAACCTTGTGCAGAAGAACTTTAAAAGAAGCCCTGTTCTCTTCTCCTCCTTTTCCCCCATTCCTCCTTCCCTTCCTTCCCTCCCCCGTTACCTGTGTTCCTCACGCCTGCTTCTCCTCCTCCTTTTTAAAGACAGAATCTTATGCATCCTTGGCTGACCTCAAACTCACTACATAACCAAGGATGACCTTGAACTTCTCGCCCTCATGCCTGCACCTCCCCAGAGCTGAGGCTACCTGCTTGACACTGCATTTTATCAATTGAATGTTGGCCAGCAGAACCCTCGTTAGCTGTTTAAGATCCTAATAACTCCCACCTCCATGGACAGTTTGACAAGATCAGAGGCAGTTGAGATCATGAACTTGAACTATGACACCAGCAGGCCAGAGTTTGATCCTGTGCTCTTTCATTGTGAGCTGATCATTCTGCTTCATTCCTGTCACCTGTGAAATGGGGTATCAGTGGCATTTGCTCATGGCTTGGCAGAGATTAGCTCTGTTAATAGCAAACAAAGTTTTTAGCTCTGCATCATAAGCACTATTTCAGAATTTGTGTTACAGTTGTTATTTACAAAATGGGCTTTTGTTCTAAAGAGAACACAGTGCCCCACATGGATACAGAAAGTGGTGAATGAAATAGAACTTGGGTGTGACAGCTCATAAGATATTTCCTTCAACAGTAGAAACTTAAAGGCTGGGTACCCCTGACAGAGGTGACAAGTTTCAGTCAGCATCTCTCAGCAGGCTTCAATTTGTTTTTTTGTTTTGTTTTGTTTTT